CTGGTGGAAGATGTGTGGACAGTGCCTGCTGAGGACGCCCAGTAGGTAGTAGCGCTGTGAGCATACCTGAAACAGCAGTGAAAAGGGAACACCAGCCTAGCACTTCATAGAAAACAAAAGAAGGAAAAGTAAATTATATACACTCACTAAGGACTAAGTTAAAAATGGGAGAGGTTCTGGTGAAACCAATGGCCTCATTTCATCCATACGTAATAACATTTAGGAGGAAAAGAGAAAGGGAAGGAGGCTGAAAGTAATGTTTAAGTCCTGGTTATTCTGATCAGAGATAACTAATTTCAAAAAGACATTTTTAAATTAGATTTTGTTTGCTCTTTTATTTTTTTGTTTTAATATATTCAGTTTTTTCATTTGTTACTTTACTTTTTTCTAATTTTTTTAAATTTTTCTTTTTATTAATTACAGTTTATTCACTTTGTATCCCACCTGTAGCTCACTCCCTCCTCCCCTCCCAACCTCACTTCTCTCTCTTCTCCACCCATGCCTCTCCCCCAGTCCACTGATAGGGGAGTTCTTCCTCCCCTTCTTTCTGATCCTAGTCTATCACATCTCATCAGGACTGGCTGCATTGTCTTCCTATGTGGCCTGGTAAGGCTGCCCCCTCCCCTCAGGGGGAGGTGATCAAAGAGCAGGCCAATCAGTTCGTGTCAGAGACAGTCCCTGTTCCCATTACTATGGAACCCACTTGGACTCTGCACTGCCTTAGGATACATCTGTGCAGGGGTTCTAGGTTATCTCCATTAATGGTCCTTGGTTGGAGTATCAGACTCAGAAAAGACTCCTGTGCTCAGATTTTTTTGGTTCCATTGCTCTCCTTGTGGAGCTCCAGACCCTTCCAGTTCTTTCCCTTCTTTTATAAGATTCCCTGCACTCTGCCCAAAGTTTGGCTGTATCTCAGCATCTGCTTTGATACCCTGCTGAGTAGAGTCTTTCAGAGGCCCTCTGTGGTATACTCCTGTCCTGTTCCCTGTTTTCTCCCTCTTCTTATGTCCATCCTCTTTGCCTTTCTGAATGAGGTTTGAGCATCTTAGCCAGAGTCCTCCTTCTTGATTAGTTCCTTTAGGTGTACAGATTTTAGTATGTTTATCCTATATTATATGTCTAATATCCACTAATGGGTGAGTATAGGTCTTTCTGCTTCTGGGATACCTCACTCAGGATGATCTTTTCTAGATCCCACCATTTGCTTGCAAATTTCATGATTTCCTTCTTTTTAATTGCTGAGTAATATTCCACTGTGTAAATTGTACCACAATTTTTGTATCCATTCCTCAGTTGAGGGGCATCTAGGTTGTTTCCAGCTTCTGGCTATTGCAAATAAAGCTGCTGCAAACATGGTTGAGCAAATGTCCTTGTTATATACTTGAGCATCTTTTGGATATATGCCTAGGAGTGATATAGCTGGATCTTGAGGTAGCACTATTCCTAACTGTCTGAGAAAGTGCCAGATTGATTTCCAAAGTGGTTGTACAAGTTTACATTCCCACAGCAGTGGAAGAGGGTTCCCCTTTCTCCATAACCTCACCAGCATGTATTGTCACTTGAGTTTAGCATCTTCAACAAATGGTGCTGGTCTAACTGGATGTCTACATGTAGAAAATGCAAATAGATTCATACTTATCACCTTGCACAAAACGAAAGTCCATGTGGATCAAAGACCTCAATATTAAACCAGATACACTAAACCTGTTAAAAAAAAAAAAAAGTGGGGAAGAGCCTTGAACTCATTGTCACAGGAGACAACTTCCTGAACAGAACACCAACAGCACAGGCTCTAAGAGCAGCAATCAATAAATGTAACCTCATGAAACTGAAAAGTTTCTGTAAAGCAAAGGACACTGTTGTCAGAACAAAACGCCTGCCTACAGATTGGGAAAGGATCTTCACCAACCCTATATCTGACAGAGAGCTAATATCCAGAATATATAAAGAACTAAAGAAGTTAAACAGCAACAAATCAAGTAATCCAATTAAAAAATGGGGTACAGAGCTAAGTAGAGAATTCTCTGTAGAGGAATATCGAATGGCAGAAAAACACTTAAAGAAATGCTCAACATCCTTACTCATCAGGGAAATGCAAATCAAAATGACCCTGAGATTCACCTTACACCCATCAGAATGGCTAAGATTTAATATGTTCTTAATTAAAATAGAATTTTATCACCTCTCCCTTTCTTCCCTCTAGCCCTTCCCATGACCTTCACTCTCAAGTTGATCGCCTCTTTCTTATATCTAGGTATATGTGTGTGCACAAATATATAAAAATACGACCTGCTGGGTCTGGCTGGTTTTGTTTCTATGTATATTGGTTCAAGGCTGACCACTCTGCATTGGACAGCCAATAAGGGGGCTTCCTGGAAGAGGTTAATTTTCCTTCTCCCAGCAGCCAGTAGTAGCCTGTAATTTTTCTGTCTGGGTAGGACCCCTGCAAAGTTTCTCCCTTCCACATTGAACTATCCGCTGATTTTGCCATTGTTCTGGTCATGTCTGTGCAGCCATTTCTAGGAGAGACTGTTTCATTGCCTTCATCCTGATAGTCTGTCTCTTAGAATCTTTGTGCCCCCTCCTCCACAGTGTAACCTGAGCTGTGGAAGTAGGAGCTGTGGTATCCATTGGGGCTGGACTCCCCACCATCTGTTGATGTCTACATTGTGGCCAGTTGTGGTTTTCTGTGATGATACCCATTTTCTTTAAAGAGAGGCTTCTTTGGTAAGGGATGGTGGCTATACTTCTCTATGTTTGTGGGTATAAGGATAAAGATTTAGAATGTAGTCAGGAATTCTGCTACTCTGGCAAAGTGGCAGTAGTACATTCTTTTCTAAGATCCATGACCTTGCTACCTCTGGGAAGCTGGCTAGGTTTCCAGGACCAGGTATGATTTTTCCTCCTGTTCAGTGGGCTGTAAGTGCAAGTAGACAGCTGTTGGTTGTCACAGGCATGTGAGTGGTACTTACCATACTTTTTATATATCATGCCATGCTGGTAATTGCCATGGTTCATAGGTGTTGCATCCCCCTCTTGATAGTTGCATAGTATTTTCTGGAACCATGAGCACTACATCACAGGAAAAGGTCAGAAAATAAAAAATTAGACAATAAAAGGTAGTTGAGACCATTAAACACCAGGTCAGATCCAGCTTGAATTACTGAAGTCCTGGATATTAAGTGTGTGATATTTTAAAGCTCATTAAAGAAATTTTAGGCATTGGTTATTCACTGATAATGAAGAATGATTGTTTTAGATGTGAAAAAAGTACTTCTTTAAGAAAAGATGATAAGAAAGGGATAAGCCAAACAAAGGGGTCATGGAGGAGGTAACTTTCAAATATTTGTGTGTGTGTTTGGAGATGTTCATGATAATGTTTTTAATACAATGAGCAAATTCTGTATTTGGAAAATGAATCCTGGCTTATGAAGAGCAGCAGTGGCATGGGAGACAGCCGTTGGGGACATGGGCTTAACATGGCTCTGTCTATCCAGAGCTTCCAGAGCTTCTTGTGAGAGT